TGGGACATCACTGGGATGCATAGGCCACGGTAGTGTGTGAGCGTGGGCTCCTCACACTCTGTTTTCACAGCAGATTCAGCCCGTGGTCTTCTGCCATTGTGAGTTCTTTGTAGAGACAAAAGGTGCAAAGAGTGGGTGAACAAGGGTGCATCGCTTCAGCTGACAGCAGTATCCCCGGCGGTGAGACTAGTACCAACCGGATTCTCAGGGTTTCCTAATAAAATTTTATAGGTATTGGGTGCACAGTGAGTCCTTTTGATTTTCTTTAAAAAAAAAAAAACTTGCCTCTGTAGTAAAATATCTGTTTTAAAATGTCGATATTAGTGCCAAAGTTTGCTTAGTTCTGCTTTAGTTCATGGTCATGCTGACATCCAATAAGAAGCAGAGATAATTTTCTTTTTTTTTTTTTTCTTAATTTCAAGAAAATAAGGAAAATGATCAAAATGCAAGGCAAATTTTGACCTGGTAAAACTAGAGAAGTGATTATTTCTCTTAAAATGTAAAAGTAGGCTGAACTGAGAGGCGCACGGGGTGTGCTGTCAAAGCTATGTCTGTGCTTTGTAACCTGCTGTGTGAGGAAGGGCTTTCCGCCCCTCCCAGGACAGGAGCCGGGACTGGCTGATGGTGCGAGGTGGCTCCCTGGCCCTCAGCCTCCCTCTCCTCAGGCCGCCCTCCCTCCTGACAGCGACCCCCCCCCCCGGGGTAATCCTTAAAGAATGTGTTTAGTCACGGCCTTCATCTTCCCGTGACTTCACCCAGATTTGGTTTCGGCGGGCTTGAACAGAAGAAAAGAGCAGAGCATCTGAACAAAATAAAGCATCCCCATTAAATTGGTTTTCATAGCTTAAGGTAGGAGGGAAAGATATTTTTCCAGCAGCTGCTTTCATTTGAACTTAAAGTTTGGAAACAGCTTCATATCCGATGCAAAATGATAAAGGACAGGTTGTGTTATTTCCTTCTTTTGCATCTTAAAACATAAGGAAAGGCTCTTACTTTTCTGTGTAACGGACGATCATTATAATTTTTCTAAGCTAAATCATTGTGTACATGTGCTAAATGGAGTATGTGGAAAATATATAAGCATGGTCCTGATAAATAGAACCGCGACTTTGATCAATTTCTCTGTTTTCTCACTTACAATTAATTTCTTCTATAAAATGGTTTAATTGCTTATGTAAAATGAGATGTCCTAATGATAAATCTGTTGTCATAAGCAAGAGGTAAGGAATTCTTACAGATAATAACAGTAATTAATTTTGTTTTCCAGCCCTGTGATAGTTGGTTCTATTGATGAAGCACATAAACTTTGGAAACATACACGCACAAAAGCACCCTGACACAGCAGACGTCAGGGCTGCTGGGCTATTGTTTTGTAGTTGCTTTGTTGTTGTTGGGGAGGTAAAAAAAGATAAAATTAAAGAAAAAAATATTGATGATTCTACACAAAGAATGATTTGGAAAGGTTTTCATTACTTCTGAAATTTGTGTGGTGGAAAAAATTAGCAATTCCTAAATTTACTGTTAGGTACTCTGGCAAGGAATGGGAAAGAGGAAAATCAGGAGCCGCCTGAAATGCAGGGCAGCCAGTATGCTTCCCAGGAAAGCCCAGAGCCCTTTGTTTTTCCCCTTATCAGAAATCTCAGGGTCACAAGTAAATTCTGTACACAATGTCCTGATCAAACGTCATTTATAATTTTCATTAATTTAACCACCTTTATGTTTTTAATTAAAAATAACACAGGTAGAAACCAGGCTGAACCAATATTTCTGGAGACCCATGTGATCCTGCGAGTTGTAGCAGTTGTGAAATGTTCTTCAACAAACATGAAAATAAATAAAACTCTGGGAGGCAAGAAGACAGGGGGCATGGCCTGCGCCTTCCTGGGTGGGTCCACCTTGGGGCGAAGCATGGAGAACTCAGGACAGGACTCGCGGCTCAAGCCTTGGTGCATCTACAGACAGGGATAATATTCCATAGAGTGTGTAGCAAAGGTCACGCACACTGATTCCACAGCTCCTCCCCAGCTGTCTTTAAAAAATCACCCTATTTAGCGGTCTCCCCTCACATAGCACCAGAAAGAGCCTGTGAGAATTGCAGAAGGCCCATTCCAAGCGCACCCTCTTACCACCAAGGGTGCCAAAGATTCCAATTCTCTCTCCTTATAGACTGCACTGACATCTTTTTCCATAATTGGTTTTCACATATAAAATTATTTAGGTCAGAAGGAAACATAGCCTATGATTCTTTACTGGTTCTAACCAGTAAAGGATGGAGCACTGAGAGGAGATGTAGAAAAAATTAAAAAGATAACCTCGCCTGACCATTCGTCCAGGGTCACACATGGAACCCCACATGGAAAGCCGCGGTGGGTTCTGTGGTGCTGTAGCTGCAAATTCCAGCAAAAACTCTGAGGTGCAGAACACAACACAGAACAGCCCTTCCCGCCAGAGGAGGGGGAGGACTGAGTCACTTCCCACTGTCCTCGCCATGTTTGTCCTCTGCCAGGGTCATAAAATATGCATGCGTGTGCCCGGCCTTGCCTGGAGCTCAGATTAAAGGGTGCGGGTGCGGGGTCTTCCCTTCTACCAGACTTCTTCTCGGCAATGGGGCTTCTTGGCACAATATCACTTGAAAAGGCTGTTTTCTGACTCATCGCATTTATTTCCTCCTTAAAGAGACATAGAATCTTTGAAAGGGTGCAAGAAATCCCTAAAGGCAGCTCCTTAGGTATCTTATTTCAGTGCAATATTTTCCATAAAGTTTTTAAGCGTTTCAGAATGTCGCGCACCTCATTTTGCCACAATCCGCATCTATGTGGGAAGAATCAAAAGATTCTGAAATTTACAGCGATGCTTAAAGGCGAAGCTTAGATTTATAGAACAATAATTCCTGTCTTTTGAAGGACAAAAATAGAAACTGTGCTAGCAACCTATCCCAATGGTTTTATATTCTCATGGGAGGCCAAAGCAGCGAGCGCGTTATGAAATCTAGACCAGGAATTGCTAGAGTGCAGCAAATCCCAATTCCCCCGGCAAAAAAAAGAGCTGGTCTACACCAGCCATATTTCTGCGCATTGTTTTTTTTCCTCCTGGTTTCCAGGGAGACATGCTTTTCTACATACGGCTGACTAGGGAAATCTTTTTTTAGATCCCTTGTTCCAATAAAGTATTGCTGCTTATAATCCTGAAGAGCACATCAGGCCGGCCGACCTCCACCTCCCCTGACACTCAGGTTTCCCCGTAATATCTTGGGCTAACACCCATGATCATTATTAATTGCTCTGCCCTAAAACTGATCGCTAACTAAACTTAATTTAATGGAGTTTCAAGAGACTAACTCAATAACAGGAGTAAGTAGCTCTGGAGATTACTTAACCTCAAATTGAGTGTCCAATTATAATAAAATACGAATATAGATGGCCATAATAGAAAAGAAGGCTTGTGTGGGTGTGCATGTGTGATTCCACGGCCACATAATTAAAAAAGATAGAAGTGGTAAAACTACCCAGGAACTGAAGGAAATTCAGCCCAAAGCCAAGGCCTACAATGGAAATCCTGAGGTTCACCGCCCCACTTCTCTTCTCTACCAGAAGCCTCAGGAATATGCAGACGCTTAGAGGTGGGTCTGGGACTTTTTTGAATATAGATTTATGACAACAGAGGAGTTCAGATGAAGATCAAGACATTGGAAAACTTCTTAACTGCGAAATAAGCTAAACCTCACTTGTGCTTGGCATTCTTGTGAATCACAAGCTGTTCGTGTTTGTTCGACTTTTTTCTCCTGCATTTTGCATCTCATCACCCCTACCAAGCTTTTCAGAGAAAAGCAGTGTTGTCTTAGTCAGACGCAGCGTTTGATGGTTGTCAGATTTCAAAATACCTTTGGATATTCTGGAAATTTTTTTACATTTAAATCAACTTCCATGCCTTGAAAGCGAAGAGGGATCAGAGTGCGGATCCCTCTGGGGACCTTCACCCTGGCATCTTTCTCCAAGTCATTCAGGGGAACACAAGTCTGGTAAACCAGTGCTGTGACCCACTCCATGCCAGCAAGGCAGGATGGAGACAGATATTCTCCAGTACAAGAAATACTGCCATGCGGGGTGTACAGTGATGGTCATGTCCCTCCAAGGTAGCCGGGGACCCACTGCACCTCACACCCGCCTAGATGCTCAGTTTGGAGCTGACGCAGTGCAGCTGGTGATTCAGAAGGGGCCAGGTGCACATTGGTCTGGCTTGGGCTGGGCGCCCCTTGGGCAGCCCAGCATCTCAGGACACCTCTGCCCTTGCTCTCGGTCTAACTGCATGAATTACCCACTCTTTGGTCATCGTATGCTGTCTTCAGAGAGGTGAAGACATTCTTGGGTTGCATGAAAACCAGGAAATCTCCACGTGTCTGTGTGCCACAGTCTAGGTGCATATCAAGGGCCAGCTGTCTTCCCTCTCATTCTGTCTGCACGAACCCTTGTGTCATTGACCTTCCTAGCTTCTGTAATAACAACATGCAGATGGACAGATTCATTTGCAGAAGCAAAAGATTTGGGTAACATTAAAATCCTGCATTCTGATTCAAATGTGGGAAGCGCTCTAAATCCTCGGGCAATGGCTGGATACAAATAACTGATCAAACTATAAAGAAACTCCGAAGAAAATTTCCAGTAATAACTAGCAACCACCAAACAATGGACATTACATTAAATATTGGTGACAAGGTTGAGAAGTTAATTTTAAAAACTTCAGTAGGCAAATCATTAAAATTCCATCCACCACCAGTGATAAGTTACAGCTCTTTTTCAGACTGGCCTTGAGCAAAGGCCACATTGGTTCTGCCCCTTTCTCAAGCACCCTGGCTCTCCTCCACTGGGGAAAGGAGATCCCAAACTTCACTGTGCTGACCCTTCTGCCCTGGAGGAAAGCCTGTTGCTGTGTGACCTCGCTGTGTGTTACACAGTAGGACAGAATGTTCTGCCTAGGGAAGGCCCTTCCTTCTGGGAGGAAGCCCTTCCCCTAGTACGGTGGGGCATGAATATGGGATGCATACTTTGTGTTCAAGGCCACCCACCCAGTGCAGCCCTTCCTGCATCAAGGACAGTCCTGGGAGGATGACACCGGGGCTGGTGGCCCCAGATGGCCAGAGGCCCAGGGAGAAACCAGCCTCCCCACTCCGTACAGCTCTGCCTGAGCCTGCTGTTCTCTCTTTGCAGAGGTGATTTTTGCAATCACTTTGAAGTGAGCCCAGCCACGCCACCTTTACACACGTGACACCCAGCCTCCAGGTAGTGACAGTAAGAAGAAGGACCTGTTTCACCCTCAGGAGGTTGCAGGCTGCTGAATTCAGAGCCCAAAGGGGAGAGGAGTGCTGAATTATTGCTATTTGGCATCTATGTGCAAGGTAATTAATAGCCAGGCTCTCCAGAGGGTCCCTGGGGACAGGAGAGGAGCCCCACACCTGGCTGCCATCCTGGGAAAAGGCTCTGTGGCACCAATGGTGGACAGAGACCCTGCAGGGCTGGGGATGTGCACAGCGGGTCTGCTCTGTGTGAGGGGCCCAGGCCGCCGGCATGAGAGGCTGGGGGATCATAAAAGCGGAGGGAGATGCTCACAGGAGGGAAAACAATCCTCACAGGTGCGCGGGAAGGAAAGGAAATGAAGAGGCTGAGAAGAAAGCAAGCGAGACGCCCGCGACGTCACTCTGCCTCTGGCAGGAAGGTCTCCGGAGGACCCAGGCGCCAGGGCTCCTGCCGCAGCAGCCCAGTGCCCGGCTGCAAGGTCACGGGGCGGGCGGGGTGCAGCGGTGCAGCCGCGGGGTCTCTTGCTCACTCTCCTTCTCTTTCTTGCTTGCTTTCTTCCTTCATTTCTCTCTCAATCTCTCTCAATATTTAACCTAAAAATTTCCTGCAATAATGTGTGTGTGTGTGTGTGTGTGTGTGTGAGAGAGAGAGAGAGAGACAGAGAGAGAGAGAGAGACAGAGAGAGAGACAGAGAGAGAGACAGAGAGAGAGAGAGAGAGAGGCCCTGACTGCGGTCTGCTGTGTGTTTGTCCGTCCGTGTCAGGGTGTGAACGTGATGAGTGGTTTTGCTGTTTCTCGTCAGACTTGAGGGTGCTGGTGGTTTGTTGGTTTGCTGTTTTAAACTTTAAAACTTCATGTGAAGCAGATACCACTTCCTTTAGTCTTTTTCTACTTAGCATTTGAGAAAAATCCCAAGTGAGAAAAGCAGTCAGACAGATGTTGCAACAGACTTCCCTGGGTTGGGCGGCCACTCTGACCTCTCTCCTTTGTGGATAAAATACATTCAAGTGAGTGTTGCAAACACTCTGTGAGCCGGAGAATTCACCATGCACCCTGCCGTTCTACCTCTAAAGCAGGGGCTCCCCCTTCTCTTAGTGTGCTGACCCTTGCCCCTAAGTACTTAGCACTGCTGCTCGTTCCTTCGAGCTAGGTGCTGGGTGCTACGCACTTGTGCCCGCACAGGCCGGCAGGGTGTTGGAGTCTTGCCCTGCTTCCGCCTCAGAACTTGAGGGTCAGAGAATTAGGTCCCACCCCAAACACCCTTGTCACAGACAGCTGTGAAATGTTTTAGCATTAAGTTAGGGGCCTGCTTTTGTTCCCTTGGCAGGCTTTCTCTCCAGTTTTCATAAGAACATGGGTCACCACCATACCTGCTGGTAAAATATTCAAAGCCACATTTTGCTAGAAAGACACAATATTCGATTTCTACCAATTGCATATTTCTTACAACCTGGGAATAAGACAAAAGGGTAGGCGTATTTTCAATTTGCCTCTGTGTCAATAACCCTGCCAGGGTTTGCACACAAGGTGGGCAGCACCATAATTTTATTAGCCTCAGACTGACAGCGCTTAATGGGAAGAATCATAAAGCTACCCAACAAATCACACGAATGCCATGCTAGGTATTCAGGGGTCCAAATAGAGAGACACAAATCATAAACTCTCACTTCTATCATTTATCAAGTCTAGCATATTTTTCTGCTATTCAAGTATTTAACTAATAAAACACTAGAATCTTCTGTTCCTTGTATCTACCAATAATATTGGTAAATACCCCAAATGTTGATAGAATCAAAGTATGAAAAATGCAGATCAGAAGGACACGCATTTGATTTAAACTACAGGTCAGGACCCCGCATGATGCGCAAACATGGACAATCCACATGGTTTACCTGGCTCGCAACTGTTCTGCCATTCCGCTGAGTATTTCTTGTACGGTAGGGACTTTGTTACAGTTACGCAATTGCTGAAGGACTGGGCAGAGCGATCTGCTCAGCGTTCCCCTCTCTGGTCTTTACTCCTAATGCTGTATTACGGGAACAAACCTTGGCATGCCTCTGCAATTTAAACATGATGGAAGAGTACTCGCCACAGATTGTTAAAAAGAAAATAATAATTAAAATACATCCTTAATGTGCTTACATCACTGCCCCAACAAGCAACAGAATCCTGCTGAAGTCACACGGCCCTCAAGCACATCGCAGACACACATCCTACAAAGGCAAACAGTTAAGTCCACTGATTCGCTCAGATTTGCAGCTAACTTGGCCTGTAGTTTTGGTCACACTGTGTGAAAAGTGTCCCTGTGACAGTGACACACCTGCCTGCACCAGTTTCCCTGAGTGGAGGTGGAGGGAATCTACTAAATACAAAGTGAACCCCTGTACTTTCAGGAGCACCTGCAGGACCTTGAAGGATTGAAGAGTCCGTGGAGAGGGAATGAGGCCCACAGAGGGGGATTTCTCAAGGTCCCTGATGTTAACCGCTGGCTCCCCACACAGGACCAGCCTGGTGTGCTATGCTCCCTGAGGAACTGCTTTGCCTGGTCAGCCTCAGGGGCTCTCACCGCCCTGGTGCTGAGGTCACTGAAATTCTGAGCGCTCGTGGCCAGGACTCCTTCTGGGGTTGAAGTCACTGTGCTGCCGTGCTCTGAGTTTCCAGGGAGATTTCCCATTTGCTGAAACAGCCTTGCTATGAGCCGTGAGGGAGCAGCCCTGCCCTCGGCCACTCACACCTTCTAGGGTAGGTTCCCTCTGGGCAAAACTGAGCACTTTGGCAAATCTAAAAATAATCAGTGCATTAGGGTCAGGTTGCTTTTCTCGATACTGCAGGCGGGGCTTCCTCCTGGGCTCAGGCTCAGTCAGCAGCAGCAGCAACACCACACCTAAAACCTGCTCTGTTCACAGCACAATGGAAACGTTTTCGCCATAAAACAAAATCGCAGTTAAAATTACACCCAATGTTTCGCAGCTTTGTAATGCTATTTCATAGCATTCGTGCCTACTAAAAGTAGATTCTGATGAAAACAAATCCATGTATAAAGCAAGTACCAATCAATTGGAGTGTATTAATTGATACAAGATTTTATTTCTAATAATATGTAATTGTCATTTTATATAAATTTGTAAAATACACAAAGAACATAATAGACAAGGGATTAAGAAAAAGTGAACTATTTTGATTTTAATAAATTTAGTTGCATGTATGAACAAGAGTGCTTACAAGAACAAATCTGAAGATTTCTTTTCTAAAGAAAGAAATTTCATTTATCTTTTTTTCTTTCCATTGTAACTTAACATTAGATAAAATATTTTCTCAGTGTTTTTTACCCTTAAAATAAGTGGTTGTTATTTCGTGTGTAGGACTAATACTAAACATGATTTTAGCAATGGCCCTGGGAATTTTTTTTAATTTGTCATAGATTTCTAGGCTAGGAGGCCAATGACAGACTCTCCAGCACCAACCTCACAACCACCTAACCAAACACACCCTGTCCTGCGGCTCAGCTCTCTAATATCTTATCTTTGGACAACTGGAAAATCAATATCTCCCAAAAGAGTCAGATGATCTCTTTCAGAATACCTGTTTCATGGCCATTCAGGAAACAATAACAACATTCTACTGAGATTCCTTTTCACTGCGTGAAGGCCTGGAGTGGGGCGGCTGGGGCTGTAAGTGGAGAAACCTGGGTGCTTTGGGGTTAATGGACAGTGATTAAGGTTAATGGCTGAGTGCCTGAGGTTAAGTGCTGTATTTACATAGCTGCCAGCTTGCCCTTAAAAAAGTCTTCATGTCTATCAATCAGTTGCAGCTAATAGCCAATTAAACAGCAAATACAGGTTAGGGACCCACGGTAAAGACCCGTCAGTCTGTGGGTGCAGGGTGGACCTGTCAACCTGAGTCAAATGGTATTTATTGAACACCTATTTTGTGGTTTCTGGGTTGTACACAAAGAAGCAGTAGCCAAGGGTCTGCGTCCAAGAAGCTTAGCCCCTCACCAAATCTGCCGAGGGCGAGGAAGGGACAAGGGGCGCAGGACGCTGTCACATCCACCGCACAGGTGAGACGTGTTCTAGCATCCAGGCCAGGGAAGGTACAGTTTAGCCCAAGGGTTCCTGGGGGGCGGGGACTTTTAACTGAAGGATGAAAGGAATCACTTCCAAGGAACTGCATCCCATCCTTTAGAACGAGTACAATGGGGCCAGCACGAAGCTACAGCAAGGACAACCTCGGTCCCTAGTCCCTGGTGACAGAACCAGGTCTGCTCAGTGGCAGGAGCACTAACAGGCAAGGGCACGGGCCTGGCCATGTTGGCTCCTTACACATCTTGGACCTCAAGGTCTGGGACAGAAGGAGCCAAGCAAAGTGCCTGGAGCTCTGGCCTGCAGAAAGGGCGAGGCTGAGGCCCAAGGCACTTTTCCAAGGCAAACCTAGCCCCAGCCCCCAGTGGCCGCATGATTGATTGCGTGGACTGAGTTTCCTTAAACAAGATTAATGTTCCCTGCAGAAGCCCCTGGGAGCGGCCGTGGAAGGAGCAGCCTTGCCTCACGCGACTGGCAGGGCCCTACAAGTCTCTGTGGCCCTCTCCCTTTGCTCTGGTGGTGGGCAGAGTGGGGTGCAGGCCCGGGGGTGTAGGCTGGGGTGGGGTGGTGGTGCAGGCCAGGGGTGCAGGCCCGAGGGGGTGCAGAGGCCCCCGAGGGGCAGAGTGGGGCGCAGGCTGGGGCTCCAGAGGCCCTGGCACCAGGCGAGAGGGCAGGGCCGGACAAGTGACACTCCAGTGCTTTATAAGTTTTAAAACTGCTCTTAAAGAATAGGTTTGTTCATTGAGGTTCTTCTGTTGCTTAGTTTCAAAATATTGAAAGGGCACTTACATGAGGCCAGTGCAAGGGGCTGCAAAGCCGCGGGGAGGGAGGACACAGCCTGCGGGGCACGCAGAAGGGTGCCCGGTGCCAGCCTCACACTTACCCCAGGGGATGATCCGAGGCTGAATCCGAGGGTTTATTGTATTTTACTTTTTATCAGAAGGATCCTCTTCCTCACTTGCACAAGGCTAACAAAGGCTCCAAGCTGCTCCTGGGAAGAAGGCCTCATGGATCTTGGCTAGCAGGCACTGCCCGTGGCAGGCTCCTCCCCTCCAGGCCCTGGTCATGATGACCACACCCCAGGGATACTGCTCTGATTTAGGAATTACCGCAAAGGAGGGAGGCAGAGGCAGAAAATCAAGAGAAAAAGCTACTTAGCAGCATGGTGGACATCTCAGGCGGTGCTGCCCTGGCCCATGACTGCAACCGGGCAGGCCTGTCCGCCAGCCCAGGCCCCGTCGTGCCCCACACCAGTCAGCGGAGGACCCCGCTTTAACAGAGTGGGAAAAACTGAGCATGGGGTTTTTAGGGTAGAAAACCCTGCTTTTGACCAAAGACAAGTTGGGAAAGCTGAGGTCCACCAGCAGATTACAGGAGGAGGGTGACCCGCTGAGGGAGAGACTGCCTTGGGCAGTCTGAAGAGAGGCAGTGACAGAAGAGGTCAGCAGATGCAGAGGGGGCTGTGGGTGGCCACCCGGGGACCCACAGCTGGGCAGAAAAAGTTGCTCCAGGCTCCAGGTGGGGTGGGGCCATCCAGAACGGGTCCGGGCTGGCAGAGGCCCCTTGCCTCTCCTGGGCTCCTCTCCATCAGTGATGGGCATAGGTTGGACGGAACCTGACCAGGAAGGAGGTGCTGTTCCTGAGCTCCCTGGGGTGACCCTGAGATGTCCTCATGGAAGACACTGCACTCAAGCCCTGCAGTGTATCTTTCATCCAGTTAAGACGGCAACCACGCCGACCACGAGCTCCCGCACCCAGTCCGTAGGGAACTCAGTGTACAGGGGAAAGGGGTCTGGTGGGAACTTCGTGTGTCTCTGACGACCTTTCCAAAGACTTACAGCTCTGAGTTTAAAAAGAGTATGAAATAATTTTGAGATATTTTTGTGTTTCTTTAAGTAATGCTTGATAGGGTTTTGTACTTTTTTCTTATTACATGTAATTCATGATAAATTAAGTTCCGTCTTTTAGCTAATTACATTTCCCTATCTCCATTTTATTATGGTATCTATAGTTTGACAGGGTAAAAAATTACCATTAATAGAGAAAAGGCAAACTATTATCTATTTAAAGTGCAAGAAATGCATTTTATTCCTTTAATTCATGATAAGCATTTAACAGAACCTGGCAAAATTAACAGAGTTAGTGTTCTCATTTTTCAGTATTCAAGGAATCGAAGACATTTAATTATCTTCAAGGGTAGTTTATTAATTTTGCCGTGCCCGACTTTGTCATGAAAATGTATTACAAAAATAAGATTAATTTAAAAATCAACGCACATCTTTATGAGAATAATATATCTTCTCTGTAAATTTCCTTTAAAATTATCTTCTGTTTGCTACTGCTCAAAGTTGTTTTGTATCATAAATAAAACTATATATGTACCTATTTTAAACTTAGTCGTAAAATAATGCATTGTATGTTTTAAAATCTTGTTTTATGGGTGAGAACCCTAAGGTAGCAGTACTAATGTTATTAGTTTATAAGTGCTATCATGGTTCTTATCCAAGTTCGTGGTATTTACTTGGACTTTAAATACAATCTCTGAATATTTAGTTAATTCCCCAGCCTTAAAAAAATCAGATACACATAAACACATTTTACAACTATGCAAGTAATATTTATGTACTTTTGGACAGGGCCTCTATGTAGTTCTGGCTAGTTCTGAACACACTATGTAGACCAGGCTGGCCACCCCTGGGCAATCCTCTTGCCTCAGCCTCCTGAGGACTAGGGTTACAGCTGTGCTCCCCACCCCAGCTTGTAATACCTGCTCTTAAATAGTAAGCTAGTGGATCCAACTTGAATTGACATTTAACACTTTAGGATTTATTTATTTGTTGCATCACTGCAAATCCTGAGGGTGCTTCTAGAATTCAGGGATTAGCATGAAGATAAGAACAGTGAACACGCAGGCAGTGCAGTGCCTTGGCCGCTTGCAGTCCTTTGGAAAGCCAGGCTCTGTCCCTAAGGGCCAGTGGTCAGGGCCAGAAGGGCTCACCGGGTGGCATCTGACCATTTCGGTGCTGCTATGGAAAAGCCCACACCATGCTCTGCTCACCTTCTGGCTGTGTCCTTGGGCAGGCTGACCCCATGGGCGATGCTACGGGATGGCCGCACCTGTGGTGCCACAGCGGTCACTGTCACTGTCTCGTCGTTGTCAGAGGTGGCACTCAGCACACAGTGTCTACACCCACTGTGTGAAGCCCTGGCTGCCCCCTGAGTGACACCCTAGACTCTGATGCAGTGTCACTTTGTCACGGTCTGGTGTCACGGGGGAGACAAATACCCTGGAACTCCAATGAACAAGTCCAGTCCTTCTTCAAGCCTGAGCGATGTTGGTGCTGCAGGTTTAGAAGGACCAGAACCAGAACGGTGAACCTGTTTTGTTTAGAAAATCAGAACTCTAAGAGCCATGGGGTTACACGCAGTGACACCAGCCTTGAGCTAAAGCAGTGTCCACTGCAGACAGAGGCCGAGGGCATTTCCAGTCCTCCGCGTGTGGGTGGAGGCCACAGAATGCTTTCTCCCCCCCATTTATGGTAACTTGATCTTTTACTTACGGTCTGAACTTGAAAACTGATGGAAATTAGAATTCTAGAGGGGCATCCTAGGGAATCCTAACCCTCAACTTTGACTCGGGGCTTGGCATGAGTCAGGTCTCTGCCGCTGACCTTCCTGTGGTTTCTGTGCCCGGCATGGTGTCAGCACTGATGGAAGCTGCTTCTATGTTGTCCACAAGGTTTCCATATCTACGGAGAAGGACCCTGCGGCTGGGCACCTGGGCCTGCACTGCTCTCCTCTGCTCTGTGGGTGCCAAGGACACTGCCAGGGCCACCTGAGCGTCCTTCTCATTCTGCACAGTGGCTGTGATGCTGTGGCCAACAGAGGTTTGTGAGTTTGGTGGTTTGGGAGAGTTTTGTCCAAGAAGACTTTGGGACAATGCAGCATTCAAAAAGTACACATAAATTCAGATTTTGCCTTAACTAAAAAGGGAAGGTCCCAGTTTCCAAAGCTGTTTTTTTAAAAGACTGTAATATGATTATTTTCCAAGCATCTTTCAAATGTAGGAGATCTTTGTATGCTAGTGTTGATGTCTATAGTTATTAAAGTTTCACATTAAATAATGTCAGAAGGCAGATTTCCATCAATAGATGGATGGATAAAGAATACATGATGTTTAAATACTGCAGGGTACCATGCCCTAAAGAAGGATGCATCTGATTGATTTGACAGAGGACAGATGCAGCTTGATCCCTACTTTAAATAAAATGAACCAGACACACCAGCTTAACTGTCACATGGCTTCTCTTCTGTGAGGACCAAGAGTTGAGTGGGGAGGGCAGGGCTGAGAAAATCTGAGGGGTGCCACGTATGTGCATGAGCTCCCCACAGCACACGGGGTCATTCCGCACTGCAGAACGGTGAGTACAAGCACAAATTTAAAACATGGTGTTCAGAAAGCAGCAGAGAGGCAGATGACTGACATAAACATGCAAAACTAAAGGCCAAGGTAAACCAGGAAAAGTGCTTTCAATGAATAGAGTTTTTCTTGCTGGTGCAAAATGAAGCTGGTGATGTGATTTTATTTGTATAGACAATAGTTCTTTAAATAATACAAAAGCTATTATTTATGTAAGAAAGCTGTTACCATGAAACATGTAATAGAAATTCTGGCACATAGTTTTATAAATACATGGACACACTGATCTTCCTACACACTCAGAACAAGTTTTTATCACATTATTTTAACACTGACACGAGTGAATGTAATTGAAAATATGATGCCAAGGTAACATCAGCTTAAAAACTAACACAACTAGCCTGTGCATGCTCAGAAAGTGCCAGAGAAGGTGTTGTCTGTTATTATGTCTTAAAGGAAATCAAAGTGCTTATATGTAAGTTTACCTTACTCAAATCTTCATGCTCTGTAAGTTAAGAATTTGGTGATAAATTTGGTTTTGGTAAAATATACTTCTATCATGGTTAAAGATGTAAAAATACAAGTTTAATGAACTAGTTCATGGAGCAGTGGGGAACATAGATGGTAATGAAAACGATATTTTATCTGAATGGTAAGAAACCCTCCAGGGCTCTGACAACCTAGCCCGGACCACACCTTACACTACACCTCACCCCACACTTCACACTCACACCACACTTCACACCACACTTCACACTCACACTCAACCACACATCACACCAGCCTCACAGCACTCCTCACACCACACTGCACCCCTCACCCCACTCATGCCAGGCTGGCTGAGTTTGGTGTTTCAGACACGCCTCCCCAAGGATTCCACTCCACAGACAGTAGGAATTCAAGCCTTCTGCTGCTGACTTCATTTTTACTAATTGTTGAAAACTGGGACAAGAAGAAGCTCATCAAGAAGGAACCCTGCACCCATTTCTGGCTGGACCTGCTCAAGAAGTGTACGTTTGGTTGGAGAAAGAGTTCTTTATTTCAGCGTGTACTGTATGGAATGGAAATCAGGCTCAGCAAAGTTTGGGTTAAATATCCCTGAAACAACTTTAGTCCAAAAGAGAAAAATACATGTAATGCTTCATGTGCTGTGACATAAACCTCAGCACGGAGGCCCTCGTGCGCCCAGTTGGCCTCGCTTGTCTGAAGGTGCAGACCCGCCAGTGCTGCGAGGCAGACGTCACTGCTGGGACGCTGCAAGTCGCTGGGTCGCACCAGCCAGTGACTGCCAGAGGAGGCCGAGCCCTGCCTGTCTGTGGCTCATGCAGCCGTGCAGCAGTGGAGCTGTGGAGGAGGCCTCCGGCCAAGTCTTCCCCCAACACACTCATAAACACACACAGTTAACAGTCATGGGCTCCAGGAAGGGAAGTAAATTCCAGAGTGGATGCAAACGCGGTTTGTTAGAGCAGTCATGAGCTCCCACGTGAAATCCCAGTGTGTTGCCGGCACCGGTGGCCACAGGTGAGGGTAAACGCTCCGGCTCTGTGGATGCACGGACACGATGTTAACCTCCTTTCTCCACCGCCTCTCCCCAGATCTGACGGTACAGTAGTGATGGAGCAAAGGGAAGCTTCTGCTGACCAGAGGTTTCTTCAGATTCTGATTTTCATTTCTGGTAACCTCTACTTTGAACAAACAGCTGTGATATTTCATTAAATAGTTAAAATGTATAGCTTAAAGGTAGGATGCGTATTTCATTGAGCTCACAAATGAGAGGAATGTTTCAGATGGAGTAGAGGTGGTAAATGGAAGCTTTTGAATTTTGCTGCAGAAAAGGTCCAGAGTTTGACCCGTGTAGGGAACAGGGACTCAGAGGCCCACGCAGCACGCGGGCAACAGTAGGGTGAGTGCTGGGCTCTGCCTGGCTTCTGAGCACAAGGAAACCCTGCGGAGCAGAGCCTGGCCCAGGCCGGGGGACACAGCCTGCCCCAGAGAGGCCAGCGATTCTCCAAACATGCCTCAGAAGAAGCCTGCTTCAGGGTGCCCTAGTGCAAAGTGTCAGTATGAAATCAGGAGAGAGAGAAAGAGGGAAGGGGAGAGAGGGAGGGAGGAAGGGAGAGAGAGACAGACATAGACAGAGACAGAAACACAGAGAGACAGAGACAGACAGACAGAGAGAGAAACACAGAGAGACAGAGACAGACACAGACAGAAACACAGAGAGACAGAGACAGACAGACAAACACAGAGAGACAGAGACAGACAGACAGAGAGAGAAACACAGAGAGACAGAGACAGACAGACAGAGACAGAAACACAGATTGACAGAGACAGAGACAGAAACACAGAGAGACAGAGACAGACAGACAGAGAAACACAGAGAGACAGAGACAGACAGAAAGAGAGAATCTCCTATAAATTAACAAAGTATTTCCTGGGTAACGCAAAAGAGATTTATGAGAACAAGAACAACCTCAGAGGACACCCTGCTGATCTCTTTGGCTGATGGTCCTGAAAGCGGATCAGTCTGGCCACTGTGTACCAGTGACCATCGCTCCCCAAGGTATCTGGAGCTCTCAGGGCTTGTCACTATGTACTCATTCTCCCCAAATCACGGGATTAGTTCTTTTTTAAATATCATTTGTTTGCTTCTCTTTTTTAAAAATAAGATGAATCTATGACTTGATGTCAATCACCTTTAAATATCTTTATCACGGAGCTTTCATCCAAACCAGAGGAAAAGTGAGTACTACGGAGCATTTATTCTGCTCACTTTTCATTTAGAAAATGGGTTGATAGCTTGATTTTTGAAGTAATTTTCTCATGTTCATTTCAGTTGGCTTGCATAAATCTTTTTATCTTCATAACTGTAAACGATGTCTTGATTAAAAATTTGTGGTGATATAGGCCATTAAAATAAGATAAAAATACTCTTTAAAATGAATGTTTTGTTTTTTTTGGGGGGAGACTACACAGACCTATAAAAATTATAGAATCAAATAAAAGAGTTTTTATCATAAATATTTTGTTTTTAATTTCTCCCACAGGAATCTCTATCATCATCATAAACATCTGGCTTGGGAGAAAGTTTTCAGCAGACAAAGCACAGAACCACAGATGCCACTTCTAAGTGATCCTATATTTCAATAAAATCCTGGACGAGGGCATTTTCCAGGCTGTGTGTGCATCACGGTATATGAATATATCTGGATGGGGTGTGTGTGTGTAACTATGTTGTGTGCATACCTGCAGATACAGAATTTTAATTAGCATTGTATCTTTCAAACATTAAATACCAGATTTCCCCCAGTGAATGACAGCCCTGAGTACCCTTGCAAAGGTCCCACCGCTGATTCTCCTCAGCCCTCGGAGATGAGAATGTGTTTGGTTGAGTCCCGAGGAGGCTCCATGATTGCCCACCCTGCCTACAGGAGCTGCGTCCTGGCTGCAAATACCCTGAGCCGACCAGCACGCCTCAGAGCCCAGGTGGAGGGGAACTGGGGCAGCCGGCAGGACTGGCTCTTCCTCACAGCTCCCCGGGGTTGCTGTACCTCCTTCCCTTGCACCAAACCATCTGGAAAGCAGGAGGGTCCGTGCTGACCAATGGTGTAACCGGCAGTTAGGTCCTGCTCGCAGCTTGGCACTCGGCTATGTATACTTTGTGCGAGTGGAGGTTTTGCGTAGGGGTCCTTTGCTGAGTTCATGCACCTGGAATCAGGTCATGCAACAGAGCTGGGGAGAGTGGAATCAGTCTCCTCAGCTGTGCGGCCCCAGGAAGCTGTCTGTGGGCAGGCGGCTAGAGGGCCCAGCCAAGCTCGTAGCTGAGGCCTGTGCTCAAGCTCCTCACCTCGCTGCTTCCCAACGTCCAGAGGGGCTGGGAAGAGGTACAAGGGCCAAACAAGTCAGGGACATGAGGTGCGGAGTGTGGGGCGGGGACCCAGTGGTGCCCAGCTGCTGGGTTTGTGAAGCCCTGCCGAACAGAGTCCAATCACACCTGCGAGCAGAAGGGTGCCTGGGAGACTGAGCCTTGGGCTCTGGGAGGAAGCGAGGTCATCTAGGACTCAGGGCCCACCGGGTAGAAGTGGCTGTCCTGTCTTCCCCGAGTGGCCACCCCTCGCCACACCTGTGTGGTGTGACATCAGTAATATCTCATCCTGAGTGAACAGAGCCATTACATTCTGTTATAACTTAGGTTAAAGTTTTAAGAAAGTGAATATTCTTTATATTGCCATAACCCATGATTCCTAAGGATTTTCCTCTCAGCATATAGAAATTTTCATGTGGAATAAACAGTGAACCTACGTTTTTGAATTACCTAATTAATCACATTGTAATCTTCTTTCAAAACAGGCATAGATAAAGCGTGGGGTCACAACATCTGTCCAAAAGTGAAGAGATGAAGACCGTATTTGAAGTCCGTCAAACTTACCAGCTGCCTAAGTTTTAGCAGGATAGTTATTAGTGCACATAATTTCAATCATCAAGAACCACTTAAAAATTTTTAGGGCAAACTCAATCTGAATGTTTATCTGGCACAAACCTTAATTGGAAAGACGGTAACAAAAGCACCATCATCAATTTTAAGAGATTGGGTTGCTTCTTTGAGGCTGTCAGGAGGTGTGCAATCATTCATCTCCTCTCCACTGAGCTGGGCTCACCATGGATGTCATGTTAGTGAGAAATCGTCATCTCCTGGAGTTTCCTGTGGATACGGCTGGCTCACATGAGCCCTTTGTCACAATAAACTGAGCCAGAACATCAAACCCCTCCTCAAGCAAACCATTTTTACTCTCCTGGTGCTGCTTAAAAGCTTATTAAAATAACTGAAACTTAAGCCAGTGTTTTATATTCTATTTGGATAAAAAGTGCGATTTTCAGTCAACACCCTTATGTCCTCAATTATCGACTTGACTGATACTTTTTGCTTTATTATTTTTTCTTTGCTAAACCAAATATAGTAGATGATGTATTGCTATCACATAAAAAGGATCACAACACATTTAAAATGTGCAAGTATGACCCACTCGATTTTTATTACGCTCTGGAAAGCAAATGAATAAATCAAGAGGAACCAAATCCAAACGCAGCTCTGAAGTGGAGTCCAGCCTTTGAAACTGGCTTCCAATTAATCACGGCTGCCCTTTCCGTGAGGGGGCACTTGTGGAGTCACTGACACGGTTACAGCATGCATGTGTGTGAACTGTATGCCACGCATTCCGCGGAGCGAGGCTCAGTGAAATTAGAATCTCTCCCTGTAGGGGGTAGACGTTGACCGCAGTTCAATGCCCACGATTGTGGCTCAAGTATGCGGTGAAGAATGACTTCTAAACTGCATTTACTCCCCATCAGTGATGTCAAAAGCAATTCTTGAAGACATATGTTTAGCTCGCAGTAATTAATTAAACCTCTCATAGCAGCGACTTTATCCAGGCTAAATCATTTCTGAATATACACAAAGGAGCCATCAGGATCCTAGCGTCATGGGTTTTAAATCATCATTTTTCCATGATGGCCATCTCGAATAGCTAGAAAACACAAACAAAACATTGGCCCATGGGGGATTATTTAAGCACTGCGATAGTACTTTGTCTGGGTTTGTCTGTTCACTCTGTGTGTGCCCATTGTCCTTTGAGAGGCATCACCTCCCGGACTAATCCTTCAAACACAGAATTCCTAATTTTAAAATATCAATGCGAAAGTCTATGACTACAGAGGATGACATGCTGGCAGTGGTTATGGCATCCGTGTCAGTTCCGCTCGTCTTTGCACTCTGTTTGTGGTAGTTATTTGAGAACCTTCACCGGAATCTTGCTCTGCACATGTGTGTCCTACATGTTGTTTCTTGCACAGAGCATGATACATTCAATGGCAAACACACCTTGTACACTGTGACATTCCATCTGAAAGTCACAGCAGTTAGCTTGTTACAGCCACACAATATACAGAGTAGTCATAAAAAGATTCCCACAGCCAAGTGAGGTTCAGAGGCGAGAGCTCAAGAAACATCACTCTACTTAGGTCAAATCTGAGCTTCACGTTCAAACACAGTTTAATGTGAATCCAAAGTCATAAACCCAAAGTAAACGCAAAGTGAAGGCTATTTTAAACCAAGCGTGGAAGACCAAAGAGTCAAAGCTGAGATTTCCTACATCTGGTTTTAATATCTCCTCCTAGGCTATTAGACAAATGACCTTTTGTTTTGTTGTGTTTATTTTAAAAGTCCATTATCATTGTCACCGTGGCTATAACCTAATACTGCTTTCAGAGTTTCTCAGATGCTCTTTGGCGACAGATAAAGCAGTAGAATGAACGGGTTCGTAAACTTTCAGGGAAATCCCTCCGGTAAAGCAGCCCCAGAGATGCAAGAAGGTAGCCATGCAAAAGGGCGGACAGCCACCCCAAGAAAAGTATGTGCCTCCTGAAGACTGCTTCTTCTCTTTTCGGAGCTGTGACAAAACATTTGCCACCCTCATTTTTGACAGTAATAAAGGATATTTCACTCAGAAAGAACAGCTAAGATGCCAGGCTTCAGGGCTGACTTAGCCTTATGATCCGCACTGCAATCGCATCCAAGACCTTGGGAATGGGGAGACCCTGGCGCTTCAGGGACACAGCCAGGGACTGTGCAAAGCGAAAGCGCAGGAGGTCTGCAGGCCAGGAGCGCAGGCTCCCTGTGCCGCACTTTTGCACGGTCTTTAGAGGATTCCCTGAGAGTAAACACGCTTAATTAATTCCCGAGTAGAAGCAGCAAGGCTGCAGGTTCCACTTACTGCGTCTGCTGTCCTTTGTCCACATGCCGCGGGCCCTGGGCTCCTGTCACCCGGCTCCAGGTGGCCTGCTCTGTTCTGTTCCGGGAGAGATGGAGGGGCTGGCCAGGAGCACGCTGCCTCTGCCTCTGGCTGAGCGAGGAGCAGCCTGCAGGCTGCCAGGCGCCCTCAGGATGCAGCGCTGAACTTCAGCAAGAGCGCAGTCCCGCTGCCCGGGCTTCTATCATGTCACCACACCTGGGCGGACCCACCGGGCTCCATCTCTATTAGAGCTCCTGACTCTGGCTGAGAGGGAGGCGGGGGCAGAAAGCGGCTTGCGCTGTCACACTTGTTTCCTATTAGAGAGCCTTACGGTGGATTGAGTAATTGTGTACGAAGGTAGTCTGGCTGGCAGATGTGCGCAGCCCCAGCGGAGCACTCACTCAGGCAGATGGGCTGTACCAGGGCGCAAACAACCCCGGGAGGGGGAGAGGGCCAGGGAAACAGCAGGGCTCTGTTTTATGGGCTGGAGTGGGGAGCACAGAGCTCCGGGGAGGCTGCGTCCCCCAGCGCCCCTGAGCCGCAGCCAGGCAGACAATAAATCCAGTCATGAAGGAAGATGTTCAAGCCACAAAAGTTAGAGACGTTGGCCATGTCCCCCTCAACTACCGACGACGAGGGGTCCAGAGACACAGCCTGTCCCCGTACCTGGCTGAACTTAATTAAAACTGCTCCATCCTGTGAACGCCATGGATTTGAAGCAGAGCGTCTTTCTGCTACGGGAGCCAAAGTTGTCTTTCAAACCTGAATTAAATTGCTTAGGAAGATTTACACCATCAGGCAGATTGACGTTCTGCAGTGGGCATTTTAGGTAATGCGGTTGAAGCCCACTGTCCAGAACGCCGTCCTCATGCTAGGTATTTCTGCGTGTCACACTTAGCCCTGGAATGAAGCCACGCTGACTCGGGACTTCCTATCTCCCACTCCTTCTGATAATATAAAGGCGTGGGTCATTAGAATGAGTTTACTACTAAATGTTGGAAGTGTTTGATCCATTTCCCTGTGTTGCAGAGAGCTTGTCTCCCACATCAAGTCGTGTGCACTTATCAGCCCTGATAACGATGATACTGATGGTGATGGTGGTGGTGATGATGGTGATGATGGTGACGATGGTATTGGTGATGGTGATGCTGGTAGTGGCGGCGATGATAATGGCAGTGATGGTGATGGTGATGGTGATGGTGGTGGTGATGATGGTGATGATGGTGACGATGGTATTGGTGATGGTGATGCTGGAGTGGCAGTGATGATGATGGCAGTGATGGTGATGGTGAGGGTGGTGATGGTGGTGACGGTGATTGCTGAACAATTGCTATGTAAGAACTTTGCACATTATCGCCCTTGAGTCCTACAAGGATTCAGTGAGACTGACACTGCTATCATCACCCTTCTAATTGTAGCTCCTCTTTCTTTTTCTTTTACATGAGGGAGAGTGTCCGCCGAAGGTCACAGTTTGTTCCATTCAGGGAGAAGGATTCAATTCCATCCGTCTCAAGAATCCTGGCTCTTTACCATATCAGACAGACTCCATATAGGATAATTTGAGTACCACCAAATATAAGAAAATTGAAATAAACTTTTATTTGAAGTGTGGTTATAATTCAGAATTAGATACTCTGCACTATGTGTCCAAGCAGGGAATTAAAATATAGGGTACTCCAGTTGCAACAGTTCCACTAAAAGAGTTACAGACTCATGAAATTAAGAATAAAATAACCTCAGAACATGTCTTGCTGAAGCAAGCGGCACGGGATCCTTTTCTTAGGAGCTCTCGAGCAAGCGTTCCCGTAATGCCTCTTATTGGTTTGCAGACAATCAATAGGGAGAAGCACGTCACTGAAAGCTGAGCATTAAGGATCCATTGTAAGCTGAGCATGGCGGCACACGCCTGAAACCCAGCGCTTGGGGGGCTGAAATAGAAATGGTGCCACAAGTTCAAGACCGACCTGTGCTGCAGAGTGCGCTCAAGGCCAGCCTGGGCAAAGCAACCAAGATAATAATAACAATAAGGAACAAAAATAAAGAAAGAATTATTGAGCGATTTCCAGTTTTTCATAAATTGGTCAAAACTCAATGTTTTATTAATGTTTTCTTGTCTTTTTCTGTATTTTACCTTTACGTAGATACTTTAGTTCTAACAGAAGCTTATTTTATTCAGTGATAAAACTGTATTGACCTCCAGTGAAAACTTTATTTGCATAATGAGACTGATATGTAATAAAAATTTTGTGAAAGATAAATGAAATATAAGTCGGGTTCTTGAATAATTTCCTAGTATTCTGCGATTTGGAAGATCACACCAGAATGTGTGCTTCTGGGCATTGACTTCAGCTATTTATAATAACCCTGTTAAACCATCCATAAACTGTCTTCCGTCTAAAACAAAAGGATAATAATGAACAAGTTTCAAAGTGCAAGAATAATTTTAAGAAAAACATTAACAGTCAATGAGGTGGAAGGATAAGGCATGATAAAATGGGAGGAAAAAAGACAGAAAAATAGAGATGATAAATTCAATGGAAAGCAGGTTGCTATTTCAAAGTGATCCAGAGCCTGGGACAACATGCAGAGGACGACCCGCTTCCCACCATGACCTGAGGGAGGCCCCGGTGTCTGCAGGGCTTGTAAGCCTGGTTACTTGAAAGTGTGTCTGCGTGTGAACACATGATTCTGTGTGTGCATGTGGATTTTTATACCCCAAAGGCACTGCAAGGATATGATGATATTTAACCTAAAGAATAATACTATACAAGCAAAATTATCCAGAGATTTTCAACAGGAGAGAAATTAATCTTAATTTGCTTTACTTAGACTCAGTTAAATTACTTTACATTTTCTGACTATCTTAAATGAGTTATCAGCTTTAGCTGAGCTGTAGCATTTGCAAATTTAAAAAGTTTTTGTTGGAAAAATAAATGAAGTTTCTGCATTTTCACGGTTTCACATAAAATATGAAAATCTTCGTTGAATTGTATGTGCGTGACTGAAAATGGAACGTACTGGAAATATTCCAGGAAACAACACCCTGTGGAGTTTATAGTCCAAAATTTAAATTAAATTGGAGATATGATTTGGAGAAGCATATGGGCTTTACGTTGATTCATTTTAGTTTTATTTTCAAGCCATCATACAAAGCTATACTCGAGAGTCCTTTTAAAAATTATCTAATTTATTCACTACCTATCCAAGACTGGCTCGCTTTCCTTTTTGTTGCAGGAGACAAAATCCGAGCGTCCCCAGCACAGTCCCCTAGCTGGCCTCTGTCTCTGCTTTCCTGCCCGTCCACAGCCACGCTCCCCGTGCTCCACTGAGGAGACGCAGCAGTGGCAGCAGTCACCAGAAAGTTGTCAAGAGATGGCTATCCCAATGAGCTTCAACAGTGATTTTATACAAAACATTTTATTGAACTTGTATAAATATTTTTGCTTAGTATAAATGCTTAAGTTACTCTATCATCAGACAAAAATTCAAGATATTTTTCACTATCTGGCTTACAGTTTGATATTTGGTTAAAAACATAAGTTTCACTTGTGTGGAGATTTTGACGCAAAATTGTAAATAAATAATTGGAATCTCAGTACCTACTTTTAAGTTTAAGGCAGTGAAAGAACCTCTCGTTGAACCCTAGCGGTAAGTTGGAATCTCAGAAGCAGTGTTGTAGTTCTGAAGTACACATATACCTTGTATGAATTTCTCCAAAGCACATGGCATATTCTGTGGTTTTCCTTCTCCCTGGTTTGACAGCTGGGCCTCACTGACCTAGGGACGTGAACACAGAGAGCTCAGTGGGCAGACCCGCACCCTGGCCCGGGCGCCTGCTTCTCCTGTGGTGTGGGAGGGAGCTACCACAGAGAGCCAAGGCAGGACAGACAGTGTCAGGTTTCTGCTGTTTTACCAACCCTAGAAGTTAAGAAAGAAGTCGCCTTTTGTTGTTATTGATTCACAACCTTAGAATATATCCTGTAGTGAGCATAAAAAAATAAAGTTTTGATGATTCAAACCAGTGCCATGGTATAGCTATTTTGACATGACATTTACATTCTAGGATAACCAAAACACAGAATAAGATTGGGTTTACTGAAGGGAACAAATATTTCTTTGCAAAGATCTGAAAAAATAACCAAAGAATTTCCAATTGGGTGTAGCTAATCAATAATTCAATGAATACTTGAATACTAATCCTTTTATGAATACTAATCATTTTATAGAATTCTATGGCAAAAATATTTCTCTCCATTAAAAATATTCTCCCCCAAATACCCTTATGGTTAAAATAAAGAACATTGCTTCCAAAAATTTTACTGTGGTACAATTTTTTTTTTTAATTTGAGGATAAATGGAATGTTTTTAAAAATTTATTCTGTAGCTTCTGAATTAGTTTACCTTATTAGTTAGTGGTCGTTGGAAATCTCAAAAAGAAAAACTTTAAAAGAAAAGGTGTCCTACCGAGTAATTTCCTGGGGAACACAGAATCTTGGGGTGTCAGATGTGGTACAGGAATGAGGACAAGCAGAGTTTATGAGCTTGGGGACCTTAAACATTATAATTCCTCAGGAGGGAGCCAAGTACAGAAAAGCTGCTCTTCAGGAAAGGTGCATATGAGGAATGCATACTTAGGCAAATGTGATCCAGGTACCTCATGTTAAAGGAAAATACCTAACCACTTTCTACCAAACTTGACAATCTTGTCTGGACAAATACTAAGTTTGCAAGTTAAATGCAGTGTCATGATCAAGTTAATCCAAACAGTAAAAATTTGAGTGAAACAATATTGCATTTTACCATCTTTTAAGATTTATCAGATAATTATAATTCAACAAATAGTAAACATATCTTTATTATAATCTATCACAGATTTTGATTTCATGACAGGACCTATTACCTGACCTCGACATTTTGTAAACTCCTAGGAATGAAAATATACGTGCACAGTAAATTAAATGAGATTTCATGGTCAGAAGGAATGATACAGACAGTAAATTTTATAAGAGGTCAGAGGGCCGGGAGTTCAGTGCGGGTTACATGAATTCAGAGGTGAGCACAGTGTTGCGTGGCTCAGAAATATTGACTGAAACAGTCTTCAAATACAAGGCTGGAGTCGAGGAACCCTCAAGAAGGTTTGGGGAGGTAAAATTGTGTGGGACAAAGCAAGCTGCTGGGGTTTGAGGTGAGTATCTGGCACAACAAACACGGTTTAGGAAGATTAATTGGGAAGGATTAGGGGAAGGCAAGCGAGCCTCTGAGGCCGCTGCAGTGGGCAGGAGCTGGCCTCCACATCTCATCTGTCCGTCACTTCCTCCCTGCACTGTCCTCATAGATTTACAGAATCCACTCGCCCT